TGGGGAGAGAAAAAAGGGTGGAAAACGTGAGGAAAAAGGCGGGAAACGCGAGGGAGAAAAGGTGGGAAATGTGAGGGGAGAAAAAGGTAAAAAACGCAAAGGGAAGAAAGGGTGAGAAAAGGGAGAGGAAAAAGGACAGGAAACATGAGGGGGGAAAAGGGTGGGAAATGTGAGGGGAAAAGAGCAGGAAAAGGAAGGATGTGGGGAGAGGGGAGGCAGTGGGGCAGACACTGGGGGGACTCGTGAGGTCACAACGGCGTAGGAAGGAATGGGGGGAATGATGGGTGGGATGGGGGGAATCGGGGGCACAGGGAGTTGGCAGGGGGCAAAGAGGACTGGGTGGGTGTGGAGGGAATGGGAAGCAGAAGGAACTGGGGGCAGAGGGACCAGGGAGGGCAGAGAGAACATGGGGGGCAGGGAAAGAAGGGGGCAGAGGGGGCTGGTGGGGACAGCGGGAACTGGGGGCTGAGAGAATGGGGAGACAGAGGGAACTGGGAGACGGAAGGAACTGAGGGGACACACAAGGAATTGAGGGGATGCAGAGGAAATGGGGGCCAGAGAGAACTGGGGTGGGGACAGACGGAATCGGGGCGGGGCAGAAGGAGTCAGGGAGCTGCAGAGGGAACTGGGGGGCACACGGGAGGTCCCGGGGTGCCCTCACCGGGGCTGCGCAGGATGGCCGAGAGCGCCGAGGTGCTGGAGTGGCCGAAGAGCCGCTCGTGCATGAGCTGCCGCTGCCGCGCCTCCTGCTCGCGCCGCAGCGCCTGCGCCTCGGCCGCGATGTCCGGCGGCATCACCGCCAGCACCGAGTCCTCCATGTCCTCCAGCACCGAGCGCCGCAGCTCCGACGGCAGCGTCTGGATGAACGTCACCGGGTCCATCGGCGCGTCCGAGCCCGTGGCCTGCGCCAGCTCCCGCCGCTGCTGCTCCGCCCGCTGCTGCGCCAGCACCTGAGGGGACAGAGGGGGTGGGACACGCCCGGGGGACACGCCCGTGGGGGACACGCCCATGGGGGGGGACACACCCGTGGGAGGGACACACCCATAAGGGGACACAGCCATAAGGGGAACACATCCCTGAGACCACACCCACTTTTGGACAAGCCCCTCCCCCCAAACACCCCCCACCTCACAGGAGAAACCTCCCCCAAACTCCACCCATAGAGGCCACACCCCCCAAAAGACCCCACCCACATTTAACTCCACCCCACACAAGCCCCACCCCAACACCTGTCACACCCCTGTGGCCCCACCCCTGGTCAAGCTCCACCCAGGCAAGCCCACGCCCCTTTGGCCACACCCCCCAACCACACCCTCCTTCAGCCCCACACCCCACCCCACCTCCCGGACCACACCCACCCAAACCCCACCCCACACCCCCACCCTCCTTTAGCCCCACCCACCTCCTCCTGGATGGCCGGAGGCAGCGCCGCCAGGAACTCGGGGCTGACCTCGGTCAGGCCGGGATTGGCCACCACGGGCGGGGCGGGGCTGGCGCTGGGCGGGGCCCGGGCAGGGGGGCGGATCCCCAGCTGGTTCTGCAGCACCTCCCGCCGGATGTCGTCGGGAAGGGCTGCCAGGAACGAGGGGTCCACGCCCTCCGGGAGGCTGATCCCTGGGGGGGGGACACATGTTGGGGACATCCCTGGGACCACCCAGGGACACCCCCCAAACCGCCAGGAACGAGGGGTCCACGCCCTCCAGGAGGGTGATCTCTGGGGGGGGACATACTGGGGACACCCCTGGGGTCCCCCCAGGGACACTGGTCAGGAGGGTGACGAGGAGGGGACAGGGGATACCAGGGGGGATGAGGATGGGGGGTGTGGGGGGTGCCACTGACCAGCCAGGGGGTGATGGGTGGGTACAGGGA